CTGTAATGATGTATAGTGACTGAATGTAAATAAATAAATTTAAATAAAGAAACCATAGATATCTTCCTATAGGTATATAGGTTTGTAGGTCCCAAAATAAAAAAAAAAAATGTGCACAATAGGAACCTATAAACATTTAAAGTTTTAAATATGAAAATATGTAAAGTTCACTAATTGAATATTAAATTTAATATTAATAAAATGTAATAAATCTTGTTAAGTTATTAATATAGATTTTTCTCAAGAATGTATACTACATATGTATTTTGTATATAGGTAACCAATAGGCATAATTGACATAGAACATATAAACATTTTCATACAGATATTTATGTGATAATTTGCATGTAAAAGAAGGTCTGAAAGGGATTAAATAATGCAAAGAAATCATAGCTAAAATCAAGTAAATGTACTACTTATATTCAAATAATTTAAATGTGAAATTATGAAAACTTTTTCAAAAAAATTTCCAGCAAAATTTATCTGTAAGTGATCTATAAGTGCATTTTAATACATTTTGTATGCTGTAAAGATGTATAGCAATTAAATGTAAAACACAAAAAGATACATTTCCCTGAATGTACCCTGAGTGTAAATTATGAAAGAGAGATTAAAGGGATTATGGCAGCAGATGGATGGTAGAAATGCTGCCCGACATCATGGATGCATTTAATACCACTGAATTGTACACATAAACACGGTAAAGTTGGTTAATTTTGTTATGTGTACTTTAACACACACAAAAAAAACTTACAAATAAAATATGCTTGATATGATGTAGGAGGATGACTCTTCTATCTTTCAAGAAGAATCCATCCCAGGGGCTATGAACTAGCACCCTCCATTCCCATCAGATCTCTCTTTATTTTCCACAGTTTGCCCTGTTGGCTATAAAATAACATGTACATTATTTGAAAGAAGCATCTATGTGGAAACTTCAAAAGTTCAAGGAAGGCCTGTTAGTCCTGAGAAGAGACAGGGGACTGTGGTCTGGGAGGGAAGGCTGGTTACTTGGAGGTGTTGCCACTGAGGTTAGGGCCCTACCCTTAGGCCTCTGGCTCTGAACCACTGTAAGGACAGATCCTTCTCGAGTGGCAGATTTATATCTGTCAAGCTCGGAGACTGGGACTGGCATTCATGATCTGAATTCATCAGTTTATAGCAAGCAACATAACTGTGGAGTTCACTCACCAACCCCTCCTTATTTCTGAAGATTTCCTGGGAACGTGGATGCTCAGAATTGTTTTTTCAAAGACGTACGTGAGCTCCATATTTTCAGGGCTGAAATCTCCTCTTGGAGCTGAGGGTGGGAGTTGGAAGGGTCATTCTCTATGGCCTCCTCCCAAACCCTCTGGGCAGATCCTCATATACTCTGTACCTTCCATTTCTGTCTGGTATGAACTGACACTGAGCTTATATTCAGAGGACCTGGTTTTAGTCCTAGCTCTGTTCCTTTCTAATCGCAAGCTTTTGGCAGTGCTAAAAAAAACTCCATTTCTAAAGAAACTCCATTTTCTTATTTGCCATGAGTTTGATTTTAATCTTTCTACAGTCCCAGGTGTGAGTAGGGAGTATATGAACTTATGATATATGTGAAAGGAGAGAGCCAGTCATTCAATTCTCTCAACAAATAATTTTTGAATATCACTGTTTTCCAGGCACTACTTCAGGCACTGGATAACAAGACCAGAGCAGGCACTTGTGACTTGGATGATTTTGTCAAATTCCCCTCCGTTGAAATTACTATTTTGCATCCCCTCAGAAATTTCTGAATGCCTGCTCCTTCACAGCTTCAACACATCTATTCTCAAACTTAGATTTTTGACAAGCTGATGGTGATAAACGGTATCTCAGAATAGTTTCAATCTGTGTTGCTAAGCATTACAAGAAGGCTTTTTAGTATCTTTCCATTTGAGGGCTGTATTTCTTCTTTTGCCTATTATTTCTTGTTTTGTGTGTTTGTGCTTTCTCACCCCCATCTTTTTCACCTTTTTAAAAATTAGACTTATTAGTACTTTTCTACTTTGTTGATTCAAAAAAAGATATTTTGTTTACTTCCCTACTTATTTACTATTTTGTATATATTTTTAGTTGTTAATGTTTCTTTATAATGTTTCTTTATACCTTTATTAATTCTTCCTTAGACTTTGATATCTTCATAGGTATTTTCTTAACTTTTAAATTGGCACATTTAATTAATTTATTGAATGTTTATTTTCTTTTTTTATTGCTAGAGGACACATGCCCTCAGAGAGACAGAGAAGGAAGAGCGAAAGTGCCCCAATGGAGTGTGGTCATGCTGCAATCCTTTTTCTCCATTTCTCCATCCTGTCAGGATTTTGGGTACCCACGCACACACACCTGGCATGAATTTCAAGCCACCAGGCCCAGCATTTTAACTGTGGTCACTTGTGTGTGATCTGGCTCTTTATGCATGATGCTTAAAAGCTCTGCTATGGAGCTGGTCCATTTATTTTTATTTTTATTAACATGTAGTTAATGCTGTGAATTTTCTTTGGGGGCATTCATGTAGCTGTGTTTAATAAATCTTTATGACTTAGTTTAAGTATAATTTTCTGAAAGTTCTGTCATTTCATATTAATCTATTTTTATCCAAGAGTTTAACTGTGTGTGTGTGTGTGTGTGTGTGTGTGTGTGCGCGCGCACGTGAGCATGCACATTGTTAATTTCTAACAACACCACTACAAATTTGGCAAAATTCTTCAGTATTATATGTTCCTATAAGAATGCTATTTGTTATTTTTAAAAATATTTAAGTTTAATTATTATTATTATTATTATTTTAATTTGATCAGAAGAAACAGAGAGAGAGAGAGGGAAAGTGAGAAAGCAAGCCGTCAGGTCCAGGACCTGAACTACCAGTAGGAGTTCTGACTGACCATGTAGGAGTCCAGCACCTTTAACCCCCACACCACTTGCCAGCCCTTATTTGTTATATTTCTATTTTCGCATACTGCATTGAGGATTTTTTATTTTGTAGCCTAATATTGAATATTCTACATAGAGGGTTTATTCACATATTTATTTACATTTAATCTTTTTTTTTTTGAGAGAGAGAGACTTTTGCTTTTCGGGTGCATGTGCACCAGAGAGAGACAGAGTCAGAGAGAAAGAAAGCGAGAAATCACCCCTTGTGGGGATGGCCACATCACAATCCTTTCTTCTCCATTCTCCTCTTGGGATCTTGGGCACACATGTACCATAAATTTAGTGGCTTAAAACTAAAGTCAAAGTGTTGAAAAGACTGTGTTCCTTCTGAAGGCTCTGGGAAAAAATTCTTTGCCTTTTCCAGCTTCTAGAACCTGCCCACCTTCCTTGGCTCACAGCACAGGACTCCAACCACTGGCTCATCAGCATATCTTCTTTTACTGACTTTGACCCTTCTGCCTCATGCACAAGGACTCTTGTGATTATATTGGTCTCACTCACCTGATCCAGGATAATTTGTCCATTTCTAGATCCTTTATGTAATTACATCTACAAAGTTCCCTTTGTTATACAAGATAACATATGTATAGATTCCTGGGATTCGTACAAGGATGTCTTTGGGGCTTGTAATTCAGCTTACCATATTTTATTTTTCCTGGGAGATTTCTCTTATTTCACACGAGTCAACAATACAGTGAAAAATATGCTTTATATGGTTTCTAGTTATTTCACTGTGCAGGAGCCTTTGAGAATTCCTCGTCTTCTGTACCGTCAAAAGCACATGTTCCCCAAGAAGTTTTTAAACTTCTAAATATTCATAGGCTTCACTCTAAACCTTTGGAATCAGCATCGCTAGGGGTTAGGTTTATAAGTCTTTATTTTAACAACTACTTCTCTGGTTATTCTTACGATAAACTACAGTGAAGTGTCTGTACACCATAACCCTTTCATGAGCAGTGGATGGGACCTCATGAGAGGTCAGAGATAACAATGAAGATAAAAGAGACTTTATCGGGACTGTGGCTCCTGGATCAGCACTTGGTGACACATGTCTTCTCCCTCTTCCTCTACCCATCCTTGGGGGACCTTCTTCCATTTATTAGTAACCTTACATTGGCTTTCCTATGTGACCTTATAGGAGAATAGAGGCTTAACTCTAGAATTCAGGGTAGTGGAAGACCAATTAATTTCACCTGTCTAAATCCTAGTTGTCCTTTAAAGACTATATCTTCTGAATGAAGCCATTCTTAACCCATCTCTACCAAATATTAAGTATGACTTATCTCTTTGGTTCTTTTTCTTTTTTTAGAGAGAGAGATTTTTTGCAGTAGGGCACATGCTTTCATAAGAGAGACAGAAAGAAAATGAGGAATCACATCCCCAGGGGGAAAGGCCATGCTGAAATGGCTTCTCCTCCATTTTCCTCTAGAGAGAGAAGAGGACACATACTCACGTGTACCTACACCCAGTGTGAATTTCAAACTGCTTTACCTGGGACTGGAACTCTAGTCAGCCATGTGGGAGTACAGTGCCTTTACCAGCATGTCACTTGCTGGCCCCTTTTTTGTTATTTCTAACCATGAAAGTTTCGTTCAATATCTTCTCAACTAGATGCTCCTCAAAGTAGGGACTATTTCCAGGTCATGACTGTCATCACCCTATAGCCTTTCTTAGCCCATCATGTTGATGGGAGAGGATTGAATGGAGCACAGAGGTTAGTTGCTTAAGGTTTTATTAATGCATTAGGATGGATGGGGGAATAGACAAATGGAGCTCTGAGAATCCTCACAAGCTAGGGGGTATTCAGCACAAAAGAATGACTTGTTCCATATCTTCCTGCTTTGGGAAAGTCTTTATAGCTAAACAGTGAGAGAGAGGGGTTTAGGACAGATAGCCCCTTGCAGAAATGATCTCATTGAGAAAAATCTAAGAAGGAAGAGCCATGATTAAGGGCTCATATCCATTCTCGAGCCAAATGGACAGTCCAGGGAGGGACAAGCCAACCCTTCTGCAGCTGTCTTCTTCTGGTACTGGGCATTGGAGTCAGGGATTCAGGGCTTGTTGCTTTTGAAGTAGGAATACAGCCCCCTAACTGTGATGCCTCGCTTCTCTTCCGTCTGGGTTGCCTCCTGGCCTTGAGCTGTGGGAATGCTGGTGTGCAGGCTGCCCTGGCTCTGCCTTTGGATCACTGTCTCCCTTGTGTTGTCATCAACCCACTCCTGGCTGACCACAATTGGCTCCCTTTTCCCCTGCCCTCCTGTCACACTGCATCTAGGCTGAGTGCTGCTCCAGTCCTGCCTTCCTGTTCCAGCGCTCGCCTCGGTCTGTCCCTGTCCTCCCAGCACCGTCCCTCCTGCCTCATAGTTGCTCACTTGAGACCATCTCTGACCATTCCCTGACTGCTGGGTCTGTCCCTGTTCTCTAGCTCCCATGTTGCTTGTAATCTGGCTTTTGCCCTGCTCCACAGTCTGGGTGTGTGACCCTGCCTGGGTCTGCATGTGTCCTCCTCTCAGGTCTTGGCTGGCCTGGCTCCTGTCTTGACTGTGGGTCTGGCCATATGTGGACTCCTGTGTCTGAGTGTCTGTACTTCCTGTCTGATGGTGCCTGTCCTGCTCTGTGGTCTGGGTGTGTGGCCCTACCTGGGTCTGAATGTGTCCTCCTGTCACAGCCTGGCTGGCCTGGCTCCTGTCTTGACTGTGGGTCTGGCCATATGTGGACTCCTGTGTCTGGATGCTCGTGCTTCCTGTCTGATGGTGCCCATCCTGTTCTGCAGTCTGGGTGTGTGACCCTTCCTGGGTCTGAACATGACTTTCTGTCAGGTCCTGGCTGGTCTGATTCCTGTCTTGACTGGGGGTCTGACCATGGGTTGACTCCTGGGTGCCAGTGCTTCCTGTCTGACAGCTCCTGCCCTGCTCTGTGGTCTGGGTAGCTTCTGTCTGGGTTTGAGTTACAGTGGCAGCTGTGGCCTTGCTTGTCTCGTGGGCTCTATTCCATTCTGTGCTCTGTGAGGGTTTCTCTGACTTCCTTTCTCTGGTTTGATGACTCTTGGCTTCTACTCTCTGGGGCTGCTCCGCCTGACCCCTTGCCTGTGTCTGCTGGCTTGTTCTCTCCTGTCTCTGGGACTCAGTCTGCCTGTCATGGCTACTGGTGTGTGTAGGGCTGACATCCCTAGCCTGTGTCTGAGTCCCAGTCCTGCTCAGGCCCCTGGAAGTCTGCTCACTCTGTTCATAATGGCTTCCTGCATGATGCTGCCCTTTCCCTGCCCTTCCCACTCCAGTGCTACTCCTCTGACCTTTTCCTAGCTCTTGTGAGGCCCCAGGATGGCTGCTTCCAGACTCTTGAGATCCACAAGCTCCCTCTGGGCTCTCACTCAGTGTGTTGAAACAGGCCTGGGCAACTTTAAACACTAAGACAAGGAATTCCTTGAATTCCACAGTCCCTGTGTGGTCTTCATCAAGCAGGCGCAGGACTTCATCCACAGTGGCTGGATCATGGGGTTTCTGGGGGAAAAGATAAGGTTATGTCAGCACCCCTCCCTGAGGAAGGCATGGACGGGCCAGTTTTACTCCAGGCTTCCCTTCCATTGAGACTGGAAGCACCTCAAAGATCCCACCACTCTCTGCACACGGTTTGTCATGGCAGCAGAAACACTTATTTGCCTTTATTTTTTAGTTCTCTCTTCTTCAAGGGGAGGAAGCACCTTTTGTTTTGTATCCTCTATGTCTAGTACATTTTCTGGTCTATAGGAGAATTGCATATGGATTTGTCGAAGAATGAATAAGTGATTGGCTTTTAATGCAGCTCTGTGGGTTCTAAGGTTGATTCTTTGGGCCGTCCTTGGCACCCTACCCTGGCACAGAGGCTACATCTGCTTTAGCAAGCCCAACACAAACAGAAGTACAGCAGGGACATGGCCCCATGGGGATTCTGTGAGATCCTGACTGAGGGCTCAGATGTTTTTCCAAGACAGTGTGGGCCAGGGTCCCATGGGACTGGACGGCTGACCTGAGCATGCAGAGGTAGCACCCTCCTGTGCTCACACATCCTTGTCTCCAAGGCCTCCATCTTCCTGTTTTCTTTAGATGCAAATCAAGGGCAGAAAATTCCTCCATCTGGTTTGCTAGATAGGGATAGGAAGGATACCAGAGTCTCTTCCTAGATGTTAGCAAACTACTCCCCAACACCTTGTTTCTGGGGTGATCAGTCGGCTAATAGTTTTGAGTACCTACTTTATGCAAAGCATAGACTTACTTCTAATGAATACTTTCTAATGCACGGTCAAATTTCAGATAGACATGGGATATCAAATTTAAGAAGGAGCAGAAAGCAGCAATAATTTTATTTCTAGAACATTCCAAGGCTCCTCCTTGTGATGTCCCTTTAGAGCCCATTTTCTTGTCTCTAAATTAGAATTCATTAAAACCAAAGTATTGTTTCTAAGCACAAGGGTGAGCCAACTCCCATGACCATTTCTACTTCCTTTGCCTTTTCATCTGTCTACATGACTGCTGTTGCTACCAGCAGGTCTGGATTCAGGTGCCACCTCATCAAATTCCCCATGCAGGCAAACGAGTGTTGGTTATCTGATAATACCCCCTCTCCAGCTAGCTCAGCACATCATACCACGATGACATCAGCAAACTCCTGCTCCAGAAGTCTTTTCAGCTCCCCTCGGGTGAGCACTGTGCAGTTTCCCTCTGTTCTGGCGTAGCGCCCAAAGGCCTCGATGATCCCACCAATGTTCTGCAGTAACTGAGGCATCTTTGGAATGGAGCTGAAAAAGATGATAAGCCCCCTTAGGGGCTCCATAATCATCCTCCACTATTTTCTCCGGAGCACTTCTGCTTCTCAGTCCTTTTCTTGCATATTCACTCTGGCTTTGTTTTTGTCTTCCTTGTCCTTTCTATATAATGGGTTTTACGTAGGAGAAGAAAGAGCTCACAGTGACTGGGGGCAAGTTCCTGAGTCAGGACTTAAATGCTGGCTCTACCACCTTCCTGTCATGTGAGCCTGACCAAGTTGCTTTCCCTCTCTGTGCCTCAGTTTACTCAATGTGAATGAAGGTAATAATAGTACTTTATAGAGTTATTGTGAAGAGTTAATGAGCTAATTCATAAAATGCACTTGGCAGATGCCTGGCTTATACTAAGTGCTAGCTATTAAATATCATCATTATGGTACTATACACACATGTAATTTATGTGCATCTATATATACTCTACTGCTCACAAAGCACTTTCTTATGTATCATCTTTTATGATTGTCTTTATCTCTGTATTTTTATAGGTGAGGAAACAGGCTCAGAGAAGTTAGGTGATTTGCCCAAGGCCGCACAACTTTTAAAGGACCAAGAAGTCCTAGAACCCATTTCTCCTTACCCATATGCAATAAGCTTTCTAGAATATACACTGTGGTTAGGGTTCATTTGTCTATCACAAAAGTGTTAGAGTCCCACTGGAAATACCAGTAGGCAGTCTGTATACTTGCAGGTCAACCTTGTTTTGGGTGGGAACCAAGCAGGAACTGTAGAGACCCAACTCTAGTTTTTCTTACTTCCTTTTGGGAAGGTTGGTTAAGGAAGAGGCTGGGCTGCCACCTTTTGGGAGTACCGAAAAGGGGGGTACTTTCGCTGGCCTTCCTATTATGAGAGTCCAAGTTTCTTTGCCTGAGATCTTTGTTCTCAGCTAAGAGATCTGTCAAAGAGGTCATTTTTTTCACAATGGCAATGAATTTTGGTGCCCTCTGAGGTAGAGTTCCAAACTGAAGGGAAGGCTTTTCTTTTCTTTGTCCAGGAATCTAGGGGTGCATTGAGGTGAGGCCCAGACATGGCTGGATGGACAAGAGGCATAGAGACGTGGAACTGCCTTGGAGAAACCAAAAGGAGTAAAAGGTATCAAAGATGATGAGGTACAAATGCAAGGAGGGATGGAAACCTGCAGCCATTGGAAAACCAGGGTGGTGACCTTGGAGATGTAAAGAGGATGAGCATGGGAGAAGGAAGACTTGATTAGAGAAGTGAGAGAGGAAAGGAAAGAAAGAGACTTGGGTGCTAGAAAAGTAGGTCAGTATGGCCAGAAAGTCAGAAAGCTATAGACCCAAGGCGTGCTATTCACTGGCATCCTTTCTGTATGACCTAGTAGCTAACAATTTCAGGCCGAGTTTTCTCTCTTATGTACATCAGGGCACAAAGCTCAGAATACTGTTCTCAATATAGATGAAAAATATCCTTTAAAAAAAAGTGGCAGATTTTAATAGTGACCTATAAATAATAACACAATAAAACAACTTTTTAATTATACTTAAGATTCCTTTGAATAAATCTACAAACTCATCTTGTCTAAATATTATCCTGTGATCAGGGAGGGGAGTCATGCAAGCCCTTTTCTACACAAGTTGGTTTGACCACATTGCCTGGGCTGGCAGGAGTCAATGACCATGATCCCATAAATTCCGAGCACTACAAAAATGCCCCCAGAACCTGAGGAACAAGACACCTTCGCTGATCCAGGAAAGCACATGGGTGGCTTTGTTTCTGCTGCCCACACAGTCTCCTGGTGAGAGGAGCTGTTGCCAGGCCAGCCTCAGGGTAGGAAGAGAAAGTCGATTGCTTCAGGAGAGTAACGTACTCTGGCTCCTGATTTGCTTGAGGCCCAGTCAAAGAGTACATTTGATTTTCTACCCACAGCCAGCACTGATGGTCATATGGCCCTCAAGTGACAGACCAGGTTTTATGAGCTCATATCATGAAGATACTGAGAATGAAAAAGAATTTCTCCAAGAGGGGACTTACCCAATGCTCAGGCAGGTTGAGACAAGTGGTTGTTAAGCGCTATGTGGTGTACCGAGCCAGTGGGAGGAGTACCTTTTATAGGGGATTTAATCCATGTTCTTGTTTTAGACAAGAGATCCCCGCCCTGTGGGAAGGCTTGATTCATCCAAGGTTTAGCCCAGCCCAGCCTCACTTCCTTTCTTCTGTTTTACCTGTTGACATGGGGCTGCGCTGCTCTGATTAGTAGGTCTCTCCTACCACATTTGGTCCCGTCTCTAGCTGGGTCGGTCCACTTGTGACAGGTAGGCTTCTTCCCAATGTGATGGGCTCCATCTTGGTGGACATTCTTTGTCTCTGTGAGCTTGCAAAGCCACTGGAAACTTCTGTGCAAATATCTAAGAATATATTCATCTATTGAGAATTATCTTTTACCAGTGGCCACTTGGGAAGACTACGTGTTTTTCTGGTAATGTTACCATTATTTAGAACTTTTTTTGAATTCTTGTTTTAGATTTTTCTTTCATACATCATTTATGAGAATCAAGAAAGTCGACTAATTTGTTTATAATTGAGTCTCTTTTCAGCTTGTTTTTATTTCTTCTGAGAGACAGAGGCAAAGAGACAGGCACCCTCAACAGGGTCCCCATGCTGCAACCCACTCTATTCTTAGCAGGCCTGGATCATGGACACATGTGTATGCACCTGGCATGCCCAGGGAGGTCCCAGGATGTGAAACCAGGACCTTTCCCACATGGTTCCAATCAAGTCACTGCTGTACCACCACCTGGCTCCTTAGGTCTCATTTTTAAATAAAACTAAAAAGATTAATACCTCTGCATCCCTATGCTTTGGGTAGGTAGCACTTTAGAGCTGGTGAGAGAAGAGGATTAACGTGAACATGTAAACCTCTTCATTGAAAAGACAGGGAGTTCAGCTGGTTGACTAATTAGCAAATATTTAACAAAATTTCTCTCCATTTCAGACAGAGGACCAAGGTCCTAGGGATACAGTGCTGAATAAAATGACAGTAGTTCGACTCTCATGGAATTTTAGCTTGACATGGCAGTCTTAGGGGAAAGGTCCCAAGAGGTTAATGATAATGGTAGTCACTATCTTTTTAATTTTATCCCATTTTCATTACCATCACATTTTCTTTGGTCCTCATGAGGACCTTATGAGGTGGTATCATGAAGCCATCTTATTAACGAGGACCCTGAGAACTCCTCAGAGAAGTGGCTACATTGTGGAGAAGGAATGGGCCAGAGTAGAGCCCCTCAGACAAGGGGCCCCGGTTCTATTACAGCATGTTGCTTCTGCTGCTTCTTTCAGTGACTTTGGGTACTTCGTAAACATCAAATTTATCCCTAACGCATGAAGAATCACTATTACCAAAGATGCTGAGAAGGAATCATTCTGAGCTCTGAAGCTAAGTCCCAAGCCAGGCTTCTACTAAGCAGCACTTTTGTGGGAAGTGTTGCTTCTTACGTGACTTTGGATGGGGAAAGTCACCTTTGCCATCCTCACTTACACATGGGCACACAGCAGGCAGGAAGGGAAGGTACATGAGGGCCTTGGCTGAAGCAGTTGGCATAGTGAAGGCAGCTCTGTAGCAAAGCACAAACTCCGCACATCAAGCCGAAAGCCCTGGGTGAGCTGCAGACTCTGGGACCAGTGACTGTCTCTGTGGTTGGAGAAGTCTTCTTTGTGAGGTGCTGGCCCAGACAGAGCAGGGTAGGAGTGCCAACCTTTGGAAGCAAGATGGGACTGAGGTTGTTATGGTAACAGATTGGCATTAGAGAAGGCCAGTAGGAGAGGGAGGAAGATGAACAAGAGGGAGTCTGGCAGATTAACCCTTTCTTCTGTTCATGGTGCTCTAAGCTTTATCTGAAAGCATTAAGAACTTGCACGAAGGTTTGGGAACAAAGAAAAAGTACATTTAAAAAGTAGCTAGCTGGGTGCTTTATCTATGAGGTAATTATGGGGTGGGTACTATTACACTCAACTTATATTGGGTCGTTGGAAAAGTCATGACATATTTTTCTGTGTTTTTTTTTTCTATGCAAAAATGCATCATGACTTTTTCAATAACCTAATAGATGAAAAAACTGAGGCACAGGGACCAGCAGTTAGCGTAATGGCTATGTCACTGGACTCCCACGTGGTCGACAGTGGTTCGAGTCCCGGACCTGGTGGCTTAAAACTCACGCTGGGCGCATGTGCGTGTGTGCCCAAGATCCCGAGAGGAGAATGGAGGAGAAGGGATTGTGGCGTGGCCATCCCCCCTGGGGGGGGATTTATCGCTTTCTATCTCTCTGCCTCTCTCTGTCTGTCTGGCAAGCGCACGCGCCCTATAAAAAAACCCCCCCCCCCCCCAAAAAAAAAAAACCTGAGGCACAGAGACGTTAAGTAAATTACAGTCAGAAACCTAGAAAATAAAAGACCTGAATTTTTATTGAAATCTGCCTGCTTCCAAAACCTCTGTGCCTGAAGATGGGGCCGACTGTGAGGAGCTGGGACAGCACAGAAGCAGAGGCAAATGAAGTACATGTGAGTGTTGGAGGTCGGCTGAAGTGCTTGAATGGAGCTAGGGGAGATGAGGAAGGAGAGACTGGTACTTAGAGTCTCTAAGTGCGTAACTTTGCTAGTGTGTAAAGTTTGTGAAGAGTTATAAATTAGTCACTTCCCTTAATTGTGTGTTTTATGGTATGCTAGAGGGGCCTGATGCCAGACACCTGGTCAGAAGTCGAGTCTGACTCTCACCCTCTGTTCACTCTGCCTTGAAGTAAAAAGAAATATCTCAGACCACAGAAACTAATTTTTGCACTTTGATTCTTTCTTACACACTTACTCAAAAATGCATTGCTGACAACTACTTGTTTTCTTCCCATTAGATGCAGCTAGTATTAGCTACAATTAGTAGCTACAAATGAAAAATAAAGCCTCCTTGCTAGGAAATCAGTCTAGTTGAGCAAATAGGCCATGCACACCAAAA